AACTGTGGACCATCGGATGTTTGAACTTTGAAAGTTCAAAAATCTCCAACGTCAGATGGTTCAGCTCAGAGGATAATTCAGAGAAGCCCCAAATCTTTGTAATAAAAAAAGACGTAAATACTATTTTCTACCTCTAGATGTCAGTAGTCAATATCATAGAATTATATAGCACAGAAGGAGGCCATTCGGCTCATCGTGTCCGTGCTGCCTCTTACTAACCAAATTAATCCCACTCCCCCGCTTTTAGACAACCTAGACAATATCTTAGACAATTTACAGCACAGAAACAGGCCGTTTGGCCACTAGTGTCTGTGCTGGTGCTCGCTCTTTCAGTTTGTAATTAGTATTTTATTATGGTCAAAATACATCTATGGCACTTAAAGGAAAAGTGTCCTTCAAATATGATGGAATCACAACAGAGGTTCAGCGTATTTGATTTCATCCTTCCAGAAACCAATCCTACTGACTTCCTATGACAATATCAAACTGTTTCTTAAATTGCTCCGCATCCTGACCACTACCATCCTTCCAAGTCACCTGTTCCAGTTCCTATTGCCCCCTTTGTGAAAAAAGCTTTCTGAGGTCTGCCCTAAAGTTGCCTTCACAACCCCCAGTGTGTTATCTCTTGTCTTGCTGCCTTGGTGAATCTGAGAAAGCTATTACTTCATTGGATTTCCGAAATAAATTCCTAAATATCTAAAATATACAGTCTCTAATATGCCAGAAATTGTTCTGTTTAACATCTGAGAACCATTTTCAAGTTAAACCTCCTGTTGTTTCAGTGCACTCTTACAAACCCTTGTTATGTGATGAGAAATTGCAGGGCAGAAAACAGAAGCAGTGCATGTCAGTAATGTACACTGTGAACTCCAATGAAAGGCTCAGGACTTGCGAATATGCTGATAACATATATTAGATGTAACATGTTAGTGGGGGAGCAGATACATTTTATTAGTGACTAAAGCTTTGCTTTGGTGGTTTGCAAAAGACTTGAAATCTATTACAGCCTGGTTACATGCTACCAGCAAGCAGCTCTTTGTATGTTTGTCAAGATGTGAGACAGACAAGACTTTGTTGCCCTGATGCAGCCCTTATTTTGGATTTGGCCTCTTGTTCAAACAGACGGATATATTTTTCAGATTTTTCTTAAGATGGCTTACTTTTGACTGCTCTGGTTTTGAGGAAGTATCCATCCCACTTTTCCAAAGGTTAACAATATTTGAATGGAAATAAACATTATTCATATTACAGTTGTCTGGTTCTAGTTGGCCTACTTAGTGCATGTCTGTTGCAAACTTGCAGACTATCGTACTGCAGCTTCAGATAGTTACCAAGATGAATGTGTCGACTGAGCCGATTAGATTTTTCTTTTAGCTTTTGGTCTGGTTGGAGTGGAGGGTGGCAAAAGGTTTGCCATCATGGCAGAGGGACAGGTATGTAATTTGTGGATTCTCAGTACACTGTTGCTACAACCCAGGAAAGATGGTAGAAGAGAGGAGGGTTTCAACACAAAGCTGTTTGTTCTTGATTTTTTTTATCTTGTGTGACAGGTTACTTTAAATAGAAGCTTAAGATGTGAAACAATTGATAAAAATCCATATGTAATACAGTGGTCTGTTTGAAGCTGGACTTTGGTAATAATTAGTGATCTGCGAGGGGGAAGTGGGTGGAGTTCACATCTCGAATGTAAAATTATACTGTAGTTTCCCAATTTCCCAGCGTTAGAAGAATGAGAAGCTATTAGACAAGCTGGGCTCTTCAGTATTGAAAAGTGGCATCTCAGAATGGATCTTATAAAATATATAAGGTGTTAAATAGGATTGGGGATTCAACTCAAAACAGTACTTTCAGATGCACTAAGACAACAGAACAAGAGGTCACAGGGTTATAAATGAAAATTATGGGAGAGACACCACAAAGTATTTCTTTATCCAGAGGCTAATTAACAACTGGAACAAGTTACTAGGAAGGGTTGTTGAGACCAAGGTGTTGAACACATTAGAAGGAAAAAAAAACATCTGGATGCTATGATAGGATGGTAGGGTGGGTGTTCAGGAACAATGAGATCAAATGGGCCAAATGTTTTTTTCATCCAAACTTCTCTTGTGTGTTTTTTATAACTATAATTCTGTTTGGTAACACGCCAGCATTTAACTTATTTATGAGGCACCACATTCCCTTTGCCCATTTCTGCTGCAGATCTATGATTTAACTGATAATGTTGTTGGGGAGACTGATTCACTTGAAGTTCGGTGCTCCTAATTCACAGACTTGACGTTTCCTGTAGGAACCACACTTTCTTCGCATTTCTTAGCTAGTTTTCCTGTGTGCCCACAAAAATAAAAATACAAGAAAGTCACGAAGCAGATAACATTTTGATAGAAAGAGCACAAATCATTTTAACTAGAAACTGATGTGCCTCATTAACATTGCATGTTGCTTGCGAACTGCAGACTGAAGGCTTAGTGATAGTTATAGTTGTACATTGTTAGATATAATAGTAATCCTTGCATTTGATATAGTGCCTTATTGCTGCTTTGAGACATTTCAAAGCGCTGCACAGAATATACTGTCTTGTGAATTGACGATGCATTTTGAAGGCGAAAAGTTATATCCTCATTGTTCTGTTTCACGTTCATGTTAATTTTAAAAACAGAAGTTGCAACCTATTACTAGGAACATCAGGACACATCTATCACTCTCATGTTCCTGGAGGTGCCAGCTTCTTTTATAAATTAGAAGCTATGACACTGTACAATACAGGAATTCCCAGACACTGGATAACTGGATATTTCTATCCACTTGCCTCTGTTTCCCTCTGTTACAGTGTGAAGGAACAGAGCCTTTTTATTCTCACGTAGAGCAATATTTGGGGGTATTTTAAAAATCGCCATCTTTTAGCTACATGTGTTTGCTGTAACAAAGCCTCTGGATCTTATATCAGCTGATGTGTCGAGTTATGTTTTCATGGGAAATAAAAGTAAAGCAGCTTTTTATTTGAAGAAATATTAGATGAATAAGCAATCTGTCCATATGGTATGGTTGGAGTACCTATTGCATGATTTGTGGAGTGAAATATCCGTGGGCAAGTTGTTGGGCTGTAAGCGTTGGAGAATGTACGTGCTCTAAACAAGAGGCGCCTGTGTCGTGCCACCTACAGATAGCAGAGGTGGAGTTTGGTATGTATGTATTCACAATTCAGTGTGTGCAATCAGACAGTCTCTGACATTCACTCTGCAAATGGTTTTGTATTGCACGTTAATTTGTTTCACTCGTTCTTTTAAGTCTAGGTGCTGCATTGATCATGGCAACTTCTTTACCGAGGACACTTGGCGAATTGCAGCTGTATCGGATTCTCCAGCGAGCCAACCTGCTGTCCTATTACGAGGCCTTCATTCAGCAGGGAGGAGACGATGTGCAGCAGCTCTGTGAAGCAGGGGAGGAGGAATTCTTGGAGATCATGGCTCTGGTTGGCATGGCTAGCAAACCACTGCATGTCAGGAGGTTGCAGAAGGCTTTGAGGGACTGGGTGACAAATCCATCTATCTTCAATCAGCCACTGAACTCTCTTCCAGTCAGCAGCATCCCGCTTTACAAAATATCTGAGGGCTCCGTGGCGTTCGCTGGGCTGAATGCCAACAATCACGAGAGGAGCCACGGCCACCGGGAGTCTCACAGGAGGCTGCCCAAATGCTTGGCTGCTATTTACGGACAAGGCATGGGTCCCAACAAGTCATACGTGATGGGGAGCTCGCCACTGCAGACGGGCGCCAGCGAGCCTCGATTCTGGCAAGGACACCCCATGACTGAGAGCGAGCCCAGCCTGTCGCCCGTGGAGCCAGGCTCCCCCTCCTCGCCGAGGGAAAACGCCGAGACTCTGGACAGCGCTGCGGTGGCCGCCATCACGGAATGCGTGGAGCGCATTGCTCAGACCTTTCCACAAACGGACGCAAACGAAGTCAAAGAGTTCGTGAGAAGCAACAAGAAGCTAGCCAAGATGGTGGGTCACATTTTTGACATGGATGGCGATGACCCGCACAAAGAGGAAGAGATCCGAAAATACAGCGCCATATACGGTCGGTTTGACTCCAAGAGGAAGGACGGGAAGCACCTGACTCTACACGAGGTACGACAGGTTGTCACCGACTCTTTGTCTGCTTTCAACTTTATTTCAACTCTTTCCATAAGACCATTTGTTCCACCATGCGAAAAGGCAGAAGGTTACAAAGTCTTATGGAAAGAGTCGAAGCAACAATGAAAGTCGAGAAGTCATTCACGTCGAGACTGTGTTTGTGTGGCAATTGGCTGCTGCATTCGTCTACAAATAATAGCTACATATAACAATAAGGCTGAAGACAAAATATACATGATAAAATAACTACTTGCAATATGTCAAGCCCTTCACACCAAATGGAAGTCTTATGGAAGAAGAATTGATTAGAAATGAAAGGAATTGGCTGCTATGTAAAGATATTCTCAGATGGGAATCAAATGCAAGGATTTAGTAAAACAAAGGGGTGAGTGAGGGAGAAATGTGCAAAACTGGTCCACTTTTTCTGGAAAGAATGTAACTGAAAAGCAGAAAAAGGGGAGGAGACGGCTGAGATTGGAAGTTCATAAAACATTCGGGCCAGCAGGCTTGAGTGCTCAAGAGTAGATGAACAGTTTCTGAAGGTTTCATTGAGCTTGTCAGGAGCATGTAGGAGGGTGAAAACGTGTAGGAGTCTGGAGAAGTGTAGGAGGCCAAAGATACAGAAGTCAGAGCTGGGTGTTTACCAACTCTATGCATGATTGATGAATACAGAGGAGACTATAACACAAGTCAAGTAAAATCCTAATGCATGAGCTTAATTGACATCAGACAAATACACACTATCTTCCAAATGTTTCCTCTTTACATGTATCCCGAAGAGTATTTCCTGGAGAACACCCAGCTGTCGGGAATCCTTTGTTTCTTCAAGGCTGCTTCGAACATTCAAATCTTGGACACCCGCATTTAGTCAAACAAAGCAGCCTCTGGATATAGGCAGCATTATCATTCCTGTTCCAAAGACTCTTAACTAACTGTCTTGAGTTTGTGTAAATTGATTATGAAGTCACATTTTCTGCAACATGGGCGGATTAGAAGAAATCAAACGATTGCAAAATCACCGGTAGACGCAGTGGAGTAAATCAAAATCAAGTCATTTGAAAATACGCAGCCTCTCTTAGACTTTCACATGAACAACCTACGCCTACAGTCTGTTCAGTATAAACCCAGTTTTCTCTGCACTGTTTCTAAGCCGTTTTTTTTAAAAACTTTGTGCAAAATTATCTCTGATGTTCTGTTTAATATTTAATTTGATGTACAGTATATAAAACAGTGCGCAGGAGTTGGAGCGTAGGAGAATAGGAACAAGAGGAGGCTGGCTGGCAACATAGTAACCCATTTGATTTAAATTGACCAAATGTTATAGCATTTAATTACTTTAACCTTTTTAAAGATTTGTATCTTTTTCAACTGCAACTTGTTTTGAAGAGTTTGTTTTATCAAAGAATTGATATTTTCCTCGAGCAACTAGTTATAATGTGACAAGTAGCCAACTAATAAAGGTGACGGTCCAAACTAATTTAACTTCAACAATGTGCCTCAATCCTAGACTTGAACATTCAGTCCTTCTATATCATGCAAATTTGTGGTCTGTCTGAATAACTTTGTTTCCTTGAGTTTAGTGCAATTGTATCTAATATCTCCCTGTGCATTTAACTGGGGCCTGTAACAGCCTGTGGAAAGATTTCTGTCCATCTGCAGTGGGTGTGAACCCAGCATTCGGGTGTAAGGATTGTAATTATAAGTACGTGTACTCGATCATACAGCCCCACAGGCTGGGTGGCAAGTAGGAGTTTGCCTTCCCCTCCCTCCCCGCCCACGACTCTTCAAACTGAGGTGTGGTTCAGTGAGTGCTGCTGTATTCCAAATATCTAAGTGTTAAGTTATTTAAGGGTGGGGCATCACAGTTTAGCCCCTACTGGTTTTTTTTACACACTACCTACACCCACGAACATCCTGGCTTGCTTGCTGGAAGCCATACAGAAGTGTGAACCTCATTTATTCCCCACTCTCTCTTCCTTCTTAGCCTGGCAATAATAATAAATAACATAATAATCCTTGCATTTGATATAGCGCTTTTCACGTCTTCTAGACATCTCAAAGCGCTTCACAGAATATACTGTAAAGTGGATTGACTGTATATTTGTGGGCAAATCATGGCACCCAATTGTGCACAGTAGTGCCCCACAAACAGTCATGACCAAATTGAGTGACAATTTTTTTTTTATGGATTATTATCCTCAGAAAAGCGATCCACCAAACGATTAACAACCAGGTTCCTACTTACTGCTAGGTAAATGGAAGCGTGTGGAGTAAGGAAACTTGCCCAACATTTCACCCTGCCAGGAATAGAACCCAGGTCTCTCGCTTGCAAGGAAGTGCTCTAACCACTGAGCTGCAGGACTCCAATAAATAATAATCATTACATTTGATTTTATGTTGTGCTTTATCACATTGTTGAAATGTCTCGCAGAACTTCATAGGACTTACTGGGTATTTGTTGGCAAACACCACAGTCAATTTGTGCACAGCATTGTCCAGAAATGGGTTGAAGTGAATGGTCTCAGGGATCATCAGGTCAGGTTACTGGGAGAAATTCCCCTCTCTTCAAACAGTACCATGGGGATCATTAGCTGAACAAGCAGAGGAACCTTCTCATCTGAAACACGATAGAGCACTTCCCAGTATTGCACTGGAATGTCAGCCTGCACTGTGAACTCAAGAATAACAAAACTAATTATCATTTAGATTACAATTGCCCTGCTTAAAATGAACTGATATATTACAGACTTGGGATTGATTCTTTGGAAGGCTAAGTCCCACAGTGAGTGATGCATTTCCCCACTGAACTATCACTTGAAGTAATAAGACAATGTTTCTAACTGTGTGTAACCAGAATACAGTAAAGGAAAGGATTGCAGTCTTATATATGTTTGACATTCTTTTGCAGTTAACTGTTAATGAAGCAGCTGCTCAGCTCTGTGTGAAGGAGAATGCTTTGCTTAGTCGGAGAGATGAGCTATTTACATTAGCTCGGCAAGTCTCTCGAGATGTCACCTACAAGTACACTTACAAAACCTGTAGGTGAGGACCTTTTTGTTTTCTAAACTCCGAAACATATGTTTGTTTCCTGTTTTGCATCATTTGACATTTGTCGTTTTGTGTATTTTACAACAGATCCAGGTTCACAGATCAGGAAGAATCTTCTCCCAAACAAATAAAGACTGAGGTAATTATTTTGCATGAATTGTTTCATTCATTACTGGATTTACCTATGAACATCTGAAGGTGTGTTGAAGAAATGGTTAGATTCCCACAATTATTCTGAGGTGCATTGCAATAATTTTTACTGGATTTCACATTAATTTTAATTGACTCATGATATAATTATTAGTTACAATTACAATCCTTACACCTCAGAGCTGGGTTCAACTCATTGCACAGGGACAGAAATTTTTACATTCAGCATGATTCAGGAGATCCAATTCATGAGTTCCTTGCGGTTCTAGTCCTTGTGAGGTCAAGATATTTAATGGTTGAGCTGGAATTTTTTCTCTGATGATGAGTAAACCTGAGTAAACTCACTTTTAAGCAGTAAATATAGGGAATTGACCAAAAAATGCTGAACGTTATTCCACATCACAGAACAACAGTTACTCCAATCTCACAATTTATGAGATATGAGTGGTCTAACTAATGGGTTGATCGGAACCTTCCTTCAGTATGTAAAGGTTAGAAGTTTGAGTCTCTTTGACTGACTATTGCGAGCTTCATTTGCAATAGTTCTGGCAGTTCTTAGCTAGGAAGCTGGAAGGGAAGCCTTGCAGAATCATGCAAGTGCTGGGCAGAATTCCATGTCTGCTGTTTAATATCAGTGTGATGCTAATAGTGAATCTTAGCAGCCAAGCTCTTAAAATACTATTCTGTTTGATACACCATGGTAAATCAATAACACTGTTTACATATGCTGATTAGAATAAGCATGTGCTCGGTTTTTACAGTATTTTCACCACGCAATACTAGGAAGAAATGACTATTGCTCACTCTCCCCAATTGTTTCAAATGCATGCAGATGTTTGTACAAAAGACAACTGTACCTATAAACATGTTTAGCTCAAGAAATGATTTGTGTGTGATTGTTCACTGAAAACATCTATCGGTCTGCCTACAAATATACAGTCACCATCACTACATTTTGCAATAAATTCTGTGCAGCACTTTTGTGTAGTTTAGGTGCTACATCAAATGCAATTCATTATCATTCGTTAAACCAAGGTATCATTTGTCTGTTTGGATGTATGTTAAAGACTCTGTGGCACAATTTGAAAAGAGAAAAGTCTCTCCCAGTGTCTAGACCAACAATCCCCCATATCAATTGGTCATTCACTTCATAGCTCTTTATGAGATATTGTTGTGTACAAAGAAACACAGGACAAAAAACTCTGAAGTGATTTGAAAAGTTATGACTCGGTAAGGTGTCATATCAGATTCAAGGATTGTTAAGCTAATGAAATATTAGAAAACATGTCCAATTCATGATAAACTCTGTAGATCATTTGTCAGGTCATTTCTCAGTAATATTGTTATTCCAAATATAACCTGTTATAACAGGTGTTGCATTTGCAGGATAATTCCCTCAATATTCACGAAACCCTACAGACATTGCAGCAGAGACAGGAGGCTTTAAAAGAGCAAATGACTCTTGCCAAGACGAAAGGCGATGATACGACTGTTCGTAACATTCAGGTACGAAATCAGAAAATGGCAAAGTCACGCACACTGCACTTCAAGCTATTTGAATTCTCCCAATTTCAGTCCAATTTGAAGACCTGTTTTATAAAAAGTTCAAATTGTAAAACAAGTCTGAGGTGACAAGACTTAATTTGTTCTTGTAGTCAAGGTTGTGGTGTTGAAGCAAGTCCCAGAGCGATTTCGCTATAAAACACTGTGACTAAGAGTTTTATCGCTGCCCCTAAATGTCATCAGCCCTGTCATTTGAAGAATGAAAGTGATTATGAAGCCTTCATGTGCTTATTAAGGCCTGATGGAGTTTGATGCCACACTGCACTGCCTCAGCAGGGCTGTGGGAGAGGGTGTCCTTAACGCTGTGAAGCCACAGGTTTTGGTTTCAGGTGGTTAAGTCCTTTTAAAGTCTTTGCGACGGGTATACCTCATTGTTACACTGTGGGTAAGTCATCCATCCCATGCAGGGTTTGAGGGAACTACAAGGCTGCAGAGCTGTAGCATTGCTAAAGGTAGTGTTGTGTGACAATGAGTTATTTGTACTATGTACAAGAGGTGTTTAATTTTCGCCTCCCACCGCCATTTTTCTCCCCTCCTAAAAGCACAGGCTCAATCTGATGCCTGGTTGCACAGCACAATTTGCCCTTCATGAAATGCTGCAGAACTTACAGCAGAGACAGGAGGCTTTAAAAGAGAAAATGACTGACTTCCACCATGAAAGGAGGCCAGCATTGTGAAGCAATCTGATTCACGGTATCTCCTTTGTACACTGTACTGCAGGGACACGGATTACAGTTTGGATGTCAGTCCTTCTCTGCTACTCCCATTTATTTCATGGTGGAGGTGAACAGTGAAAGTGAGAGCTGACCTCTGTATAAACTCTGATATTATACTACACACTGCATACAATGACACAAATACTTGGTTCACTTTTACCTGTAACTCTTGATTGTGCAAACTGAATATGCATTCATATTATTTACCAAATCAAATGACCTTTCTCTGAGTGATGCTCATCCCCAAGAGCGCTGTCTGTCTGTGCCATTTTCTTTGCTTCTGCAAAAAGATTAACTTCCACCCCCTCACCTGAACCTTCCGAAAGGCTAAAGCTCTTTTGCTGCTCCTTCCCACAGACGTGTCTCTGTCTGGCAAACCCAACCATTCCTTACAGCCTGAGGTGCTGCCTCACTAGGAGACTGCAAGCTGTTAAGACTTAACCGGGAACACCCTTTCGTATATTAAAGTGTGTATCCTTTTTACAAAGAACCTCTGAAAGTTGTTTCTGCTAAGAATACCACTGCCTCGTTCTGCTTCAAGCAAATTAATTTTCCCAAATAACTAAAATGCCACAACACATCACAAAAGTCACACCGTTGCTTCTTTTTGAAAGATGCAACAGCAACAGATTCTTTATTTTAGAAATGCACCTAAAGAGAATCCAATAATTTGCACGTGTGCCTTTCAGGTAGGATTCAGGGCTTCGTCTCAGTGTGCTTTTTCAGGTACACAGTGAGAATCAGTGAGCAAGCTGGGGTAGGGGGAAGGTGGCCAAAAAACACAGTTGAAAATGGGTAGAGAGGGTACAAGCAAGGTGGAGGAATTGTGTAGAGAGTGAAGGTGCTGTGGTTGAAATCTTGGATCAGAGAAGATGAGGAAAGGTCTTTTAGAATCTGTGCTCTTGAACCACGCCACAAACACCTTTTCTTTAATATTTGTCTCTCTCGTCATGTGTTGCCATTTCCAGCCTGGGACACTACCGTGCATGAGGGGTGCTATTACAAATGCAAGTTGTTGCTGTTGTTGGCCAGGAGTGCAGCCCACTGACTGGCCTGTTGCAGGCCTCTGTTTGAGAGGCTGGTTTGTGGTGACTTTCCTGACTTGTGCTTCCTTTACTCTTTTCTATACGGAAAATTGCAAGCCCTCTGCTTAGTTCGTTCCCACAAAAGCATAGTGAGAAAGTAGGAAGATGAGCAATTTTAGGAAAAGTAAAAGAGATTTAATCCCAGCAAACGTATTGCTCTTTCATACATGGAAGAGCCACCTAGGGCCACCTTCCCCTACTCCCCCCTTCTCTTTCTCAACTTGCATTTATATAGCACCCTTCATGTGCATACTATCTCAAAGCATTTTCTTGATATTCAACCCCATACTTGTAAAATGCTCAGAGACATTGCCCAGCATGAAGGATGCTATATAACTGCAAGTTGTTATTGATCATGAGAGCTTTTGTTCTCTTATTTGACAAGACTAATATTGTTACTTCTTTATTGTGTGAACCTATATTATAATGTTGACCAATATTTGCATGCCTAAATATTGTGCTGAAATGGCAAGCCCTGTAAATAGGAATAATTATTAGATATAAAGCATTTCTAAAGACATTCAGTAAATGAAAATGATGACTTTCAACTCACCTTCAATTACAGTATTTTTTTCAAGAATCAGGATTTTATTCTACAATAATTTTTTTCATTGGAAGATTTCTCTTTAATTCATTGAAAAACAGAAGAAGCTTGTTACTTCCTGGTTTTGTTTTTTTTGTTGCAGAAAATCATGTTTTCTTTTGAATCTTTATCTCTGATTATCAGAACATATTCTGTGACTAATCTACCCAGTGTCAAAACAGCCTCCTAGTTACATCAAAGTAGAGTACAAAGATGCCTGAACAGCACCTAGATATGTAATGCTCTATCCCGTGCACTTTGAAAATGACTAGTTGGGTATATTTTAAAGAAAGTTCACTACAAGACCTATATTTTGGTATCTCAATTGTGAAAATGAGTTTGATTTAGCTAAGTTAAGGATAATGTAGTTCAGCAGGCAGATGTGTATATATTAACGTTATCAGCAGTCTGAACTTTTGTTTTAAACTTTGCTTTACGCACACAAAGGTCAGATGCTTAAAGCATTTCACAATGTTTATCCCGTGTCTCTACATAAAGGCGAGGAACAGAACATGGTTTTCAAACAGACAGTGTGATCAGCGCTAGTGTGTCAGTTTGGCTTAGTTGAAAGCACTTTTGCCCATTGGTCAGAAGATTGTGTGTTTGAGTCTCATGTTGGGACTTGGGTGTCATGCTCTTGAACACTGGACTCATTTAAGAAAAGGCTTGATGCTGTAATTGGAGGACATTGGGGTATATATTTGGTAAAGATAAGGTCAAAGGAGCTGAACCTCAGGGCTGGCGTGACCTTGCTGGAGCAATTAGTTGCCCCTTTGGCCTTCAAAACAATCTTGACAGTGATTATTGTGAAGTGCTTTGAAACGTTTCACTATGATAAAGTGCTTTTTTTTCTTTCACTAAATTAAGAGGATGTTAACATGTGCCGGTAACAAATCTAGTGACTCAATTGGCTGGTGACGTTGCCTCCCTCTGGGTGTGAGGTGAATTTTTTTCTGAAATGAATGTTGTTAAGTGTTATCTTTTTCCTCTTTTACTGGAATCATATTGGTCCTGTATGTTGCTATATTCCTATATTTCTGAGTATAGAGAGGAAATTAGTCCTGGAGTCCTGTAGCTCAGTGGTTATAGCACTTGCCTTGTGAGTGAGAGACCTGGGTTAATAATAATTTGGCCATTCAATCCAGGACTGTTTGTGGGACACTGCTGTGCGCAAATGGCCACTGCATTTTGCCCACAAAATATACAGTCAATTCACTTTACAGTATATTCTGTGAAACGCTTTGAGACGTCTCAAAGACATGATAAGGCAAGTGCAAGGATAATATAATGCAAGGATCATTATTAACTTATAAGTGCTGTAAGGTCTTCGTCCATTGACACAAAGGAGTTGAAATCCACTTCCAATTACACATCAATCCTATTGCATTTATATAGCGCCCTTCACACTGGACAGCGTCTTGGAGCGCTTACCAATTACGAATCTACAAGGATCAAGAGGCTGTTTTTACATCAGTTCTGGGGGACGTGGGCGGAATAGTGAGATTAGAGAACATGATTTTTCTATCAACCACAGGAATGTATCACTCCTACAGAAGCCAAATTGGGGAAGCTTTGAGACTGAGTTTCTTGACACTGGGGGTCTAAAACGTGGCCATTTCAAACATCTTGTAGTTATTTGAAGGATTTTCATTAGCAACACAGAGTCACAAACCGTTCCGTAGTTTTAATTGGATGGAATTGCAAGTGACTGTTCGGAATTGCAAGTTGATTTCAAACTGTCTGGGACGTGTTAACAGTGTGGCAAGAGGCAAGTCCTCTGAGAACTCATAGCAAATGTATTAAGACATTTTTGGAAATTCTTTACTTTTTTTTTTGCTTTTGCTTTAGGCCCATCTTGAATCGATAGCGGCTAAATATATAATGCTTCTTCGTGAACAAGCCAGGCATGACATGTTGCAAGCATCTGAACGACGTCTGACCACTACAGCTTACAGGCAGCATTTGGAAGAGCAGAGTTCTCGGAGTCCATCAGCGGAAAGCGTGGATGGACAAGGTACAAAATATACCTTCACACGTTAGAACATCAACTTTACATTCAAAGTTAAGCTGTGGAGGGATAATGGGAGTCTTTGGCCTTTTGCCCAATTCCCTCAGACAGACACTGGTTTCCTCTTCTGTTACCAGGTGAAATTTGGATGGGATGAGGGCAAATCAATTGGTTTATATAGTACAGCCAGCCTGTAGTCCAGTCTGGAAACAATTGTATAATTACACTTAATTGGGTCTATTTTAGCAGGCTCTATTGTGCAAACAATAAACAAGGCATCTTTACTATGTTTTGTTCATTGTAACTTAAGTCACTAGGAGACATACTGCATGTTTCAGATATTACCCCTTGTCGAACCAACTAACTGTATGACTCCTCAAGCCTCTCAATCTCTTTGTATTCTTGTTACCAGTCATGGAGGGAGAGTCTGAGTGTGTGAGCAGCTGAATATCTTAAAGAAATATACTCTTAGACTCCATACTTATTATCTAAGATGGCCTTCTCTTTAACTTATAGGCCGAATTCTCCAAAGACAGCCTGTCTGGGATGGTTACTTTCCAACAGCTACTTCTCCAAAAATGTATTGGGGTTTGATCTTTCCTGTAGAGGAATATTTGCCTCAGTGAACCACAGGGCAGATATTATGAAACTGCACTTTTAAACAAAACAGGCTAGAGCCCAAATCTTTTTTTCCCTGTGTATATGACAAGCACTGTTGGCATATAGTTGAGGAAGATACTTGTTGTGCAGTAATTAGGACCTTGTTATCAATAGTACATTTAGAGAAATGAATAGTAAGGGCAGTTTAGTGACCACAGTTGTGAGTTGGTTAGGATCAGCATGGGTGTGATCACTGCATCGAGAAACTAGCAAGACACCTAATTTACTTTCTAAACTGTCTTGTTATTTAGTGTAATTGGCAGGCTGTGTTCCACCCACTCCAATCCCCTGACTTCGTGTCGAGGTGAGCTGGCTAAATGCGTGGGGGAATTATTGGTAAAGAACAGCATTAGGGTGTGATGTTATAGATACAAAATGAAAGTAACCTGTATTGTTCTAACTTTGGGGCATGCAATCCTCGTTTCTTACAAAATACACTGCTTGGGTACCTTAATAGCAGTGCAAACAATGTTTTGGGTGACAGATACTGGCATGCCACTTAATGCTTCTGCTTCACTGATCTTATTGTCCAGGTGAAAAACCACTGAATCTCAGGATCTCCAACCAGCAGAACAGGCAAATAATACAGGAGATGGTCGCAAGAGAAAATCTACAGCAAGTGTCAAATGAATTAAACCGGCTTTATTCTAGCAATTCAAGCAAGCCTCATTCATCAGGTAATGTGGAGGCAACTGACTTGACTACACTGGTAGGAAGTGTAAAACATCCCACACTCCAGCTTAATTCATTCTCACGCTCACTCTCCAAACGACTTGACTGAGATCAGAGATCAATTTACGGATGTTTGGAGCATGATCCAACTCATGGTTTTTGTTTGTAATACAGCAAACTTGGCTCGATGGATACTATGTATTCAACAAGAGATTGAAGCAGTGCCACTTTCTGTTAGGGAATCCAAAGCGTAATATTGGTTACATACTGATGTATTGGAAACAATGTTCATGCTTAGATAATAGCACGATCACTGTATTTTAAACGAGACCACGGGAATCTGAATGTTTTTTCAAAAGGGGCACTTAATACTGAGCTGCATTGAACACAATTGATATCACTCAAGTTCAACAACTTTTATTAGCATTTCTAAAAGCAATGGCACAAACAAATTATACTTGTGTTATGTTGTATGTAACATTTGATACACAGTGTTTAACATTGCGGTATGAGGGGGAAAGAAGGGAGTTTTTTAAATGTGGTTCAACCACAACACATCTAAATGTCAGCCTAAGGGTAAAACCTACTATCAGTCTATCAGATTCCATCTCCTACCCAAGATGTATGCTGCAACCCACCACGTGCCAACATTCAAGCTGCTAATATAGTTTCATTTCTTTTTCAACAGAAAACATAGGCATGCTGAAGGATTTCTGCCACACAGTCCTAAGTCACACAGAACAGAGAAGCGAAGCTTTGATGACCATCAAAACAGAGCATGAGGATCTTAGATAGCCTTTTCCAAACCCTACCCATTTCTCAAAATGGCGTCATCGAGCACAGTGACGGGAGCCTTAATGACCAGCGTTGCCTCATATATGTTTCATTATTGTGGTTTGTCTTGTCAATTGTTGTGGGTAATGGTTTGTTAATTCAGCAGAAATTTAGGGTCATTCTTAGCTGTCGTCTGTAGTTCTCATTGCTCTTACAGCAGATTACCAGGTTAACAGCTACTTTAAAAGAAAAATCCTTTTTTAAAAAAAAAGACAATTTGGATTATTTAAGAATCTATTAGTAAGGAGGTGAACTCAATTCAAAATAAAACAACAGTATTGCAAATAGTTAAATGCAGAGAACTTGACAATATTACTTGAAAACACCAATTTCTTATGGCACACCATCTTAGAGTAGATAATGTAGAGCTTTTGTCTAAAACTTAGTCTAGCATATAGCCTGATCAAACCTTGATAGTTGTGTACTTTTTTAGATGTAAAATACGATGCAGTTATGCCTGTAATGTCAAAGATAATATAAAATTGTATCATTACATATGTTTGACATGCTTATTTATCACAAATAAAAGGGATGTGGGATGTAATTGGGTCAAGGAAATGAGCTTTGCTGAAAAGGTTGGTTGAGGTTCTCCAATAAAGGCCACAAAGTCATGACAGTCATTCAGCCTAACAAAATGTTGCAGTGATGTACGAGATGACATTCATGAACGTGGCTCCAAATATTACTGTGTACTTTAAGCACGTGTGCTGGTGCTAACCACACTCCGGAGACGGTGATCCATATATGACTGGACATGTATGACTGGGTTTTGAGCATTGTCTGATCAAATTCCACACCCCTCCACCCCAAAGAAATTGAGATCAGATGTCAGAAAATTCTCACATCGTGAATTAGAAACAAAACGCACAATTTGAATAGTCAGACTTCTCTGTTAAAGTATCCAGTGACCATTTTTTGTTGCGATGTGCAATGTTCATCCATCTATTTATAGACCTTTTAGTCTTAAAAGTATATGGGTTATAGTACCAATCAGTTTTAAATTACTGAATTAAGTTTTTTTGTTTAAAACCTCCTGGTACCTTAATATCTGTTGAGTGTTATAATAGCTCAGAAATAATCAATGGCCATTTGTACTGTGTTTGCAATTTGCCCAAATAGAAGGTGCAGGAATAATCCTGGACAAAGTGAGCCTGCATTGAAGGACATTTAGCAAAACTTCTTCTTCTGTCTTTTGGTCTTGTTTTCTGCTTTTCCCTTTGTCTTTTGCCTGAAATTCCATGCGATTGTGGTTGCTGAGATCAGTCAAAGCCCAGGCATTTGTTTCCTCTGATTGGTTGTGCAAGCAGCCGCAATCCTTCACACAAGATTATACTATGGAAGACGCTGTAAACAAATGCATTACTGACTTAAACTTGCCCAGTTGATTTATTAAAGTAGTTGAAGCCTCATGGTTAAAATGTGTAACAAGCTGTTTTGGTAGCTAATGTAATACATTGTCGTCAAACTCCAGTAACATTTTATATTAAGTGTAGTTAACAGAAGAATAGTTGTAGAGGATTACTCAGTTGTAGTGGCAGATTAGTACACAAGGGGATTTGAGAGCAATTCCCTAGAGTGCAATTTAATTAGGAAATGGTGTCACACTTTGTTACCATGAAATGTTCTCGTGAACTTTGACTTGTCGTGTACTGATGTTACTATAAATGTCTCTACTGCTGACTTGACCAATAGTATGTTAGAACAAAATCTAAACTGTGCTGCCCTTGTAACCTTTTCCCATCTTTAAAATGTTAGAAAAGGTAAAATGGTGATCAAATGTACACGTACACTAAATATAAACTAATATTACGTCTTGTTAATTGTCAAATGTTTCACCTTTAATTCAGTCTAATGAACATTGCAAGAGTCTGAGGGGGATCAGGGTAACTGGATGAATGTTCTAATAGTTTTCCCTGTTTGCAATTGCTACTTAAACGGAATAGACCAGTGCTGATTTATTCTGAGTGGTCAGAACATGCAGTATAGGATGTTTTGGATAAACACTAATGTATTTAATTTGTTATATAAACATTAAAGTATATTTTTGGAGTTCTGATTCAGTGTCCCATGGCTTTTGGTTCTTGCGGCATCTCCTTTAAACCTGGCTGGCCTGCAACAAGTAGTTTGACATAATGGTAGGTTTCGTAGTTTCCATTGGGGGAGGAGGGGTGCACTCAGTGGTTTGGGAGTATTCCAAGTCACTGCTGAAGCCATTACCTAATCATTCACCAGACACTGAAGAGTATCTGGAATTACTGGGATGATAAGTAGAGGTACGTGAGATGTTCAAATGGACCTCTTCATTTCTAGTCTAGAGTACACAATTTTCCTCGTGCCTGAGGCTGTCTACCAAAGGTAATACATGTGTATCCAGATCTTCTGGGACTGGGGATACAAACCATTAGTTCCCTTTAACCCTGACCATAACTTCAGGTTTCCCTTCAGTAATTTCTGGAAAAACTAGCTTCAATTTCCATTAAAGCAGGATCCGATTTTGTTTATCAGATGCAAAGGTGGCACCTTAACCTCAAAACAACTACAATCCCTGGTTGTTGGCAGTTGTCGACATGTACCGTTTCTTCAGCTGTGCACGACTTTTAGCATCACTGATAGCTTGTCAACCAAACAAGCCTTGGTTGTAGGTCCAGGGCATTCTCTTTCTTCTGAACGGACCTCTGCACATGGAAACTCTGATTTAAACTCTGAATCGTACCATTGAAGCTGGCTTCCAAAGAGATAATTTCCTTAAGATACTGTGATTCATCTTCTTTGTTCTGTGTAAAGTATCCTTAATTGGCTGGAAATCTACATACTGTAATGGACACATGTAGATTTCACATGTAGAAGAGAAATGGAAAAAATTCTATTGAGCCAACAAGGATGTTCTGGGCACAGCACAAACCTGAGTCAGATTCTAGAGTCTCGATCTCTCTTATTTATTGCAGCTACAGAGGCTGCATTTGGAACTCGTTAGTAAAGTCTCATCTTACACTGCCTACACTGCATGTTCCTGTGAACTTTCATCTTGAAGGGTCAACGGAGGTTAAATCTTCTTCTACTCTTCCTGGTTCTAATTTTAAGGAAAATAATCTCAAGAGAGAGTAAATTTGCAGCTGAAGTTTCTAACAGCAGGGTAACAGTTGAAGCCTAATATATGTACAAAACTGATAATCGGCTGTTTTTCAATTCACAGAGATACAACATGCGTTTTAGAGTGCTTACCAAACTGATGAGGTCCATGAACAGTGAAGAAAGGTCGGGCGATTTAAAGCATAGCCATAAGAAGTTATGTTGTTAAGAAGATTTCAAGGAGGGGAGGAAATGTACAATGGATTTTGGTAGCGAGTTCCATAGAATGGGGGCACAGTGGCAGAGTTGTCAGAACAGAGGATATGGTCTGGAGAATAGGGCTGTGAGAGAATGCAGAGAGAATATATTTTGCCCTGTAACCATTTTTTTATTATGGTACTAAGCGTGACTACAAATTGATATACCCGAAGGGTATATAAGGGTATACAAAGGGATTTTTTTGAAGGTTAAAATCATTTTGCAAGTGATTCTTTTACTTCCGCATTTGTTGATGTGCCTAAGGGTATGGTACCTTTTCAGGCCAATGTTATACTCTGAAATCAAGCCAATTTCTCAACCTCTGTTAATGTCTGAACATGTTTCTGACATTTCTGAATGTATAATAAATAGTATTGTGCTTTTCGGTGGAATAGCAGAAACAGCATTATGAAAAGCTCAACGAGTCAAAGAGCAGAGCAGAATGAGGTGGACGTTAGTTTGCTGGTAGTGTTGATTCAAATTCACTTGCATTTTAAAGTGCTTTTCACGCTGGATGAACGACTTGAAGCGCTTACCGAACAACATATTACAATCTTTAAAAAACAACTCCTTAACGAATGGGGCGGACACTAACGTTGTTGTATTGGGTGACTGTACAGGATTGACTGTTGAATTTAAAGCTGTGTGCTCCCCCTCCTTTGTGCTGTAATAAAACCTATCAAAGATGGTGATCATAGGCTGAAGGCTGATCAATATAAATCACACTTGGCCTGTACAATCCAGGAATCCCTTTCCCCACCCTACACCTAAAACACTTGAAATGTAATGAAATGACCTGCCTTTAAAAGATCTTGTTAAATCAGATGTAACAAGCAGCAACTAATATCAATATAAATACATTGTGATAACAAGAAGAGTTTAGTTGAAAGACTTCAATTGCTCGATTTACATAAGATAAATGGGAATGTGTGCTCTTAGGGAGGGGACCAGCCTGTCACACTACATGGGGAGGAGTCAGTACATCTGATTAAAAAAAGTAGGGCCTGCTTTCTAATGCCTCCATTAATTAACATTGTTAGTCTTATTCTGGTCACTAATACGTTTGGAAACATACGTAACTGGGACGATTATTGACAGGAAGGGGTAAAAAACGTCCGTGACATGGTTACTGGCAAGTGAGCCATAGTCTGACCCTCCTCCCACTTGCTTGTTGCCGCATTCATATTCACACACCTCCTCGCCCTCCCACCTCTGTTCAATGTTTCAAACCGCTTTTTCTTTGCACCTCAAACTGGTCTCCCGCCCACCTGCTACTGGAATTAACCATTTCTTACCCATTGCAAGACGGCTTGCAGTTTTGCCTTTGTTCTCACACTCGCCTCACTGTTCCTTCTACCACTGGCATTACATGGAGGGTCAGGGTATCCGAAATTACATCATCATTAGTACTAAAAAAAACCTTGCAACACTCTGTAGGAGTCAGGCTGAAAGCGAATGGTCAAGGCAATAAACAAGAACAATTTTAGAATTCTAATAGCACCTTTCACTTTGGGAGGACATCTCAAAGCACTTCAGAGAATTGGCTGGAAGCTGGAGTTGGGGAACTAAGGGTGGGTGGGTGGGTGGGTGGGGGTAAGAGGTGGCTCAAAGTACAGTCAAAATGAAAGGTCTTAAACACTGGCTTTAAAGGTGGGGAGGGAAGAGTGAGGCACAGGGACTCTGGGCTGGAGTTCCAGAGAGTGGGATCAGAATGGCTGAAAGCTTGCCTGCTGATGGTGGGACGGGTCAATTCCTGCTGATAAGCCAGGCGAGTTGTGCTGTCATTAGTACTGCGGACCCACTTGGCTCAGGACCAGGACTATCAAAACTGCCACAGAGGATTGGCCCGATTCTGATATTCCATTACCAAACATATCATATTGGAACTGAACTGCTTAACATTGCAATCTATAGCAGACTTCTCTCCTGTAATATGAAACAGATAATAATAATAATAATTCTTGTATTTGATATAGCGCCTTATCACGTCCTTCTCAAAGCGCTTCACAGGACACACTGTCAGGTGTAGTGACTGTGTTTGGTGGGAGAAACAGATACTGTGTGTGTGTGTGTGAGAGAGAGAGTGAAAAATAGGCAGATAATATGTGTATCTATAAGAGAGAAATGGAAAGAGTGCATGAGAAAGAGGGAATGAGAGGGAATGACTGAAAAGGGAGGGGATTGAGATATAGGAGGTCAACACTGCAATTTAGGCTTAATATGATCAGTTGTTCTACTTCATGAATTAGGGATGGGTTACCATAAATATCTGAAATGACAATTTTAAATGAAGTAAAATCAGAGATGTTGGTAGTTTGAAAATATTCAGTACTTATTTGGTATTGGCTATTTTGAATTCCATTTTTGTAATTAATTTAATTTGTTCCATTCCTTTGTGACACCCAGGCCACAAGTTTCAAATAGACAGCTCAATCAACCAACTCCATCGCCTTTGCTTATTGCCTCTCTTGACGTCAAAACCAAGCCCACTGTTGGGGAATAGTGGTCAGATTCTGCCTTTTTGTAATGGAGCCTGGAAATTAAGTTTTTGTTCTTGGGCTGTAATGCAATGAATCCATCAATCAATGTTGCCAACCTACACCTAAAACCTTCTGGAATTTGATAAGCAGTGCTGGTTTTCCCGGTGAGAGAGTAAGCATTTCATTCCACACACAGGGAAATTCCCATGTATAGTTGGCAAACATACCAGGAACTCTTAGTCTGGTTTGAGTTTAACCTGATGTTGGATTTCCGTATGTTTTCAGACTAAGAACCCTGAATTCTTTAATTCAAAATGGAAGTAGGTCATGTCAATCTACAGGAACTTTGCTCTAACACAATCTACTTTCAGACCAGACTTAACGTCGGGGTGACAAACTTTAAAGTCCATGTGCGGGTTCCTCATTAGGAAATCCTGTGGAAATCTCCACATTGTAGACCACTTTATCTTTTAATTTTTCTCTGATTCAAATAACAGTAGTCAAAAAAAATCTGTTTACAGCAAAAAAAAAGCGATGACATTTTTCACTCACCAGAAAAGAAGCATTCTTCAACTTAAATGGATTAAGCAACAACAACAACAACTTGCATTTAAATACCGCCTTTTACGCGGTGTCTCGGAGCACTTAGCAGTGGCGGAGCCCGATGCTGAACCAGGCGGGAGGGAGGAGATAGCCGTAAGGTGATCTAATTCTTCAAAACAGAGCAAAACAAAGCCAGTTGTCAAAACATGTTATTAAGTTGGAAATACTACAAAAATTATAATTTTTGAAGAATCATGTAGATGTTGTGCTCAACTCTGCTCAGCTGTCAGGGCACATAGCTCGCATTTGGTAATTTCAGCATGATTAATTGTGCAGTCCAGGATACTCGTATATGGCTGCTTGCTGACAAGGGCAAGAATGTTGTTCATGGATTGCATTAAGATTTGCATCACACTTACACAAATTGAAACTGAAGAATGACTCATCCACAAACCAGGACTTTTTTTTTGCAGTTTTAGATTTTTGTTTAACAGACAGAAAGACACTAGATAGACGCCCACATAAAACCCTAAACCGGAGCTTGTCTATGAGAAGCTGAGCTTCAAGTGCACTAGATAGGTCAAATACCCACTAGTTATCAGGACCCTCTTCATGATGTGCATGTGGGGCGTAACTCCTTAAGTGCAGGCTGCAGTTGATGGTTCAGCTGAACAGAGCTGCTTGAGCATTGTATGGGAG